TTTCGTCAATGTCACCCAACCCCTGCTGGCTTGTTTTGGTAGGTCTATTTAGAACGATAAAATAATACTTACATACACAATTTTATATAGAGTAATATATGTCCTTCTTTCAGCTGTGTCTGCAATTGGTGGACACTGGTGGCCGTTTGGTGGAAAATGAAAAGGGAACTCAACCGACAATCCTGCGTTCCCAAGCTGTCTCCACGTTGACAGCCTTCGTTCCCTTGCATTACGACTGTCTTGTACCAAGCATGAAGGACATCAAGAAGATGATAGAGTCTGGATTTTGGGTTTGTGCTGAAAATTACGCAAGGCTTGATGAAATCCACACCATGCAGATCGGTTGAGTTGCCGTTTGTCTACATTTTAGCTGGATAGAGAAGAAAATCGGTCGTTCCGAATACCCCTACTTCGATTTTGTGATGCTTTGCTGACGCATGCCTTTGAATGCTTGGAGGAAAAGGAGAAGGAAGAGGCTGAACCGGATTATGATTGGTGGCTGAGAATCAGTGGTACCCTCGTTAGCATTGCCGGCGTGCGTTTATACTTTTTGCGTATAAGTCGAATGTCTGTGTATATCTACCTATTTATTGATTTATTGTTATTCGTGCTTCCTTATTTACAGAGAATTAAAGTGGCATCGTTTGATAATCCCATAGATTCAATGGACCGGCTTTTTGTTGCGTTTTTCTACTTATTATGATTATAAGTAGTGTACTAGGCTCAAAAAGTTCATTTAATATCTCCCACTACTTAAAATATTTTGTTTGTTTTTTTTGAGTACAGAAAAGCACTGCTCTTTTTCCTCCTTGTTGATTTTTGCCAAACTAGGCCATGTACTACGCCTCACTGATATGAACTTGCACATTCTTCGCAGTTCCTACCCTCTCACTGTGGATGTATGCTTGGGACTGTGCAAGTGTCTCAGAATTTAGCCTGACGATCTCATTTTAATGCACTTTTTATTTGGTACTTTTGTGAGTCCGCTTATATTGCGTTTGATAATGCAAACCAAACATGGCAGAATCTTTTAACACAGATTTCCAAGCATCCTCCATTTTGCATTCCCCCTTTTCGGACAATGTGCTTTAAAACATGAGATTCTATTAAATATCCTATTTATAGATGGTACTTACATGCTCATAGTGGAGAATAATCCTATTGATAGAAAAGGAACTGATTAAATAACAATTTGGCTAGAAAGTAGCAACACCCTAATGAAAACAAGTTATTCGGCTACCACCGCAGTGGTATCCTCTGAGGCGCGAACTTCTGGTGTCACACAAGCACCAGCAGTAGTTGTTACCATATGAGCAGCGCCTTTGCTAGTGCCATCTGCTTCAAAAATGCAGTTGTAGGATCTTTTCAGGAAGGAGAGATAGGCCTGTAGATTTCTATTCGATGCATCTGATTGTGCTAATTGGTTCTTCAACTCTTGAATGGTCAGCTCTAGTCGAGCTGTTGTATCGGTCGAGGAGTTTTGTGGTTTGAACGATTCAATCTGCTTCAAAATGAGAACAGCTACTTGAGTGTGTGATGACCTCATAGTCTAGACGAACGCAAATATCTCTTTTGTCGTTTATCACTTTGTCTCCACATATTTT